CTGAGAGCGAGACGTTGCGGAAAATGGCGATTCCAGTGACGAGAATGTCTGTTCCTCAGACACGACCATCGCCTCGTTTCTCGTATCCGAACGCAGGTCGCGTTGATTTCCTCTGTCGCTGTGCTCCATCAGAACTCCAACCACTTGGGTCTACTCTTTCCCCTTGTCGTATTTCCCCAGTTTTTGTGTCCGAAACGAAGTGACTTTGCCCCCAAACTGAGAAAATCAATATGTTTCCATTTCCTTAGGCCTGAACCACTATCTTTGTCTGTCGGAATTCACGCAATCCCACATCCAGATAAGGTACATCAAGTTTTCTTCTGTTCCTTCTTTAGATACCCAAAAACAAAGAATTGGATGCTTGTGAATGTTTATACAATTGAAAATCGATCTTTAGAGTGGAATTATATAGGTGGAGAAAGGTGGGGAAGATGCTTCCTTTGTGAGTAGCTATAGAGGAGGAGTCATAGCTGTTGCAGATGGTGTCTCTGGGTAAATCTTAAACGGTGTTTAACTTCTTTGCTTATGCTTAAATTTGATTTATTGCTTCTGGGTTTATCTCAATTTTGCTAAAGTTTCTACCTTTTTTATTCTAAGTTGGGCGGAACAAGATGTTGATCCTTCCTTGTTTTCCAAAGAACTCATGGCTAATGCTTCTCGTCTAGTTGATGACCAAGAGGTAACTTTGAATCTCTCATTCCAAGTCTTAACTTTATCTTTTGAGTGATTTGTTGTTTATTAAATTGGAATAGGTCAGATATGATCCTGGTTTCCTCATTGACAAAGCGCATACCGCAACTACTTCCAGAGGTTCTGCCACAATGTGAGATTTTGAGTTACTTGTCCTAATTGTTATTCTCTTCAAAAGGTTCGTTTTTGTCCCTTTTTGGATAGCTTGATGTCGCGGTTATTGGTGAACCAGTATTGTAGCCATGCTTGAGGAAATGGGTGTTCTGAAAATAGGCAATGTTGGAGACTGTGGACTTAAGCTTCTTCGTGAAGGTTGTTTTTTCTTCATATCTTAGATGCTAGATTGTTTCATGTTCAGCCTTTGAGAAAGAGATTTTCTATCATTCTCATTTTCAGGTCAGATCATTTTTTCGACTACTCCACAAGAACACTATTTTGACTGTCCTTACCAACTAAGCTCTGAGGGATCTGCTCAAACTTATCTAGATGCATCGGTAAATACATCTGTACCACTCTACATGCTTTGTTATTAGTACTGTAGTTCTGTAACAGACTTCTTACTTCACGCAGTTTAATATAGTGGAAGTAAAGAAGGGAGATGTGATCGTGATGGGTTCAGATGGACTTTTCGATAACGTGTTTGATTATGAGATCGTTTCGATAGTGACCAAGCATACCAATGTATCAGAATCATGTATGTATGTATGTATATTTCTCACTAGAGTTTTAATCCCAAGTTGAGAAGTAACATGGTCCATTTTGTATAACGATTATAGCGAGGTTATTAGCTGAAGTGGCAAGTAGCCATTCAAGAGATCTAGGTTTTGAGTCGCCATATGCATTGGAAGCAAGAACAAAGGTAAGATTTTAACTAAACCAAGAATGAGGATTCGCGCAAACCAGTTTTGAATCCACTTACGTATATGCGTTTTGACATAACAGGGGTTTGATGTTCCTCTCTGGAAGAAGGCACTAGGAATGAAGCTTACAGGTGAAAGAAAACCCCAAACATTTTGATTTATACAGAAACTGCTAAGTTTCTGAATTGATCCCTCGTTCTGAAAAAAATGCAGGAGGGAAGCTTGATGATGTCACTGTGATTGTTGCTAAAGTTGTTAGCTCTTGAGTCACACTCTGTTCATGATAAAGTTTATATGATCTTCTCTTTATTCTTATTGTACAAGTCTTATTTCTCATTGCTGCAGAGATCTTATCAAAGATATAGATAAATGGGATTTCAAACAATTCAATGCTGTAGATAAATGGGATCTTATCTATTCCTTTTAGTATTTCTCGTAAAAATAACAAATAAAAATACAAAATTTTCTCTCGTCAATGCAAATCAGAAAAAGGCCTTGGGGTTGGAACTCTAATCTGACAACATTATTTCGTGAAAAACAATTATTATACAAACATAGATCTCTCTAAAGAGCTAGTGTTAAAAACTAACAACCAGCAGCTCTATGATGAATCAATTACCTGAATCAGGCAAGCAAATGAGCCAAACGCATGTTTGTGTCTTCTTTCAAGCTACATTTGAGTCGCCATTGACATCTTGGAAGAAGGATTTGGCAGCTTCATAAGTGGACCAGCAGATCGCAGCTGCTGGAGCATGGAAGAGCATTCTTGGTAACCATCCTCTAACAAGCCCTCTATAACCGTCTTTCTTCACAATTGTACGAAACACATCACTTATCGAACTGCTCTTGAAGCGATCACAACCGCACACACCCTACACATCGCCAGAGACAAATTCTCAGAACAGACAAAACAACCAAAAATCAGATGAAATGGATTCTAATTTGGGTTTGAGTGAAACCAAACCAAAACAAGTTCTGAATTGCTAAAGATCCTACTCCTAGAGATGACATTTGTTTGATCTATTCTTCATCCTTCAACACATAACTGAAACGACAAAAACTAAAGCTCCTACATTCAGTAAATTCTATGCCACAAAAGAGCAAAGCCTGCCACTTTCTAAACCTGGAACACTTAGAGCTCAACAGGGAAACATCACTGCCTCAAAATCATACAACTTTCTACACCGCCGATAGTTTCATCTTTCTTCTACATCGTAAACTCAAAACAGTTTCAATCTAGAACTGGTTAAAGCTATAGAATTACATATACCCACTGGAAAAAAAAACAGCTTATTCAAATAACTTCAATACTATATCACGAAATGTGCTCAAGACTCGAGCTTTATAGAGCCAAACCGAAACAAGTTCATCTACGAAATACATAGCCTTCCCCTATAAATTCCTAATCCAAGACTCAATTGTTGAGTTTCATGATCACACAGCTTACATTTCTAATCATGCTTATAGCAATCTACATCACTGCACAAACAACACCTATAAAGATCATAGTGTCATCTATAATCACATTGCCTCTCTAAAATACTCACCTGACATTGCAATTGCGTCTTGACAACGTCAAGCGGCGTAGTTACAGCAGCCGCCAAGCCACCAGCGGCAGCTCCTGCAGTAGCATAGATCAACCAACCTTCCTCCTCGTCTCCAGTAACATGCTCAGGCGATATCTCTCTCAATCCTCTCTTAACCGCCTCATACGTCGCGAAATGAACAGCCGTGAACGGAGCATTCATCAGCACGGTCGTTCTATAAGAAGCGTAAAACGCTCCAAAACCTTCCTCACGCATTACCCTCTTGATGCAATCCCAAACCCCTTTATAAGTCCCATTCCCAATCTGCAGCCTCTGCTTAACCATATCCATCGGAGTGAACACTGCGTCGCTAGATACCGTGGCGAATACGCCGGAGATAGCGTGTGCGGCGGAGTTATTAGGGTTATTACCGGATAAATACTTCTTAGAGACTTCGTAGAATGAGAAATAAACGGCGTGAGCCGGTCCAGCACCGAGTCCCATCGCCCATATACCTCGATACAAAGCCGATGGTCCGTCCGTTTTGATAATCGAACGGAAAGCTTGTCGGATTCCGATGGGTTTAATCGGACAAGAACGGAGAGCTTGCATATGGGTCTTGACGGTATCTACTGGAAACATGGCCATGTGTTCGACTGAGCCAGCAATCGAACCAGCGACCATGAGCTGCCAGAATCGAAGACCGTTGGTTTGAGCCGGAACTACAATCGCCGGATGAAAATCCGGTGGTTGAGGGATGGGACGGAGGTCAGATTCGGGGAATTTGGATGCAGTTGTGGCTTCTGTCGCCATGTGTTTAGGATCGAGAGAAGCCTTGGGTTTTAGGGAGAGACAAAAGAGGAATCTGACTGAGAGGTTGTTAAAATTAGGGTTCCGAGATGTCTGGAGCAACACCAAATCTGGACTTGTCACTTTGAAATCTCCGACCAGACCAGAGAGAGGAGGCGGCGGTTAAACGATACA